ATACCTATTTCAGTCAGGGTTTTCTTTGAAGTTTAAATGGTTAAGTGGTACGTGAGATCCTTGACTGAAGAGTTGGAATCCCTTTAAGAAAACACTGTGATAGATACCAAGACCAAACACACTTTTAACTGCAAACTTTAGTACAATAAAAGCTCAAGTACAGATTAGCTCATCTTTGTAGATACATCTTGCTGACATTTTAGGTACATGCCTGTCTTAAAATATTTTAAGGCTACTGTAATTGTCCCTGTATTTACAGAAGGAACAGTATTCTACATTATTGCACAGTAACCTGTTTACATGACTGCTCACTTTGGGAAAATGTCTCCTGTAATTAGAGTGGTAATTTATTTTTTGTATAAAGTGAGTGAGAGTTACTGTAGGGGGAAGCCAAGGAGGGGTTTGCTGAAGGCTAAGCAGACCTGTGATTTTCACCAACTTTGGAAGACGCTGGACAAACCTCTGTCATCTCATATGTTACTTTGCTGTTTGGTTGTGGTCCCTGAAGCAGCCACTAGCATATACAGTGTGGAGGAGTTAAGTCTCCTTCATTGGTCTGAGTTGATCTGTGTCTCACAGAAAAAAATTATAGCTCTGAAACAACACATAGAGCACAGTTTGAAGAGTTTTCTTCTCAGCCACCTCTTACCTGCCGAGGCAGCAAGCCCACTGGCAGTGGCAGGTAGCGAATGTGATACCTGCATGCAGCAGTTGTGCCATGTGCTTGTTGAGTCGCAGCTGCATGTCTATGGCTCGATTACTTTGCATTTGTATTGATGACCTCTGCTTTTACACCAGCAGTTTTCCTGTGTCAGCTGCCAGAGGAATAGCCAGCAAAGAGGTACAACTGTGCAATGTGGTAAAAAGTAATTATCTGCCACCCAAAAATAAAAGGTCAGGTCTAAGCTGTGAGATTGTTTAATTTGTGCAGATGTGTTTAAGTTTGTTTTTAAGGCATGGAGGCAAGTTTTGGATCCATCATGAGCCTTTTATTTCTGAGTATTCTTTTCCTTTCTGAGAAAATAGCAAAAAAGTGGTCTTGTGCTCCTCTTTGGGATGTGGGCATATGAAGCCTGTTGCTACATCAGCACTTTGATGTCCATTTCAGACTAAATTCTTGTCTAGGATTCCTGCCTTTTTTAGGAAGTTTGGTTGGGCTTTTTTTTCTGTTCTGCTGGTTCTGTGATTTTTTCCAACATACAGCTTAGGCTTTGTTTATCTTCTATATCTTTTATTTGTGGAGATGTTCCCAAAAGTCATTGTGAATCTTTTGGGGTTTTATTTTATATGTTTAATCTTTAGTTACTACTTTAAAGCTTATAGATGCATATATAATAATCTAAAATAGATTTGGTTGTAATGTTTTAAAGGGAATTGCCTTGAAACTTCAAATACCCTTGTAATATCCTGTGCTGTGGTCACCAAAAGATGTATTTGGAACTCTGCTTTTGTAGTAGTCCTTTTTAATATCATATGCAAAATATAATAATAAATAATCTTAAAATAATAATAATCTTAAAATAATGTTTAGTGAATTCTTTGTATGATGATTTAATACTCCAGAAGATAGTTTTCTTATCTTACAGGCCAGACCAAACAGCTGAACCTGTTTGCATTGTTGCAGCAATAAGGAGACCCATTCAAAGCAGTAGCTTAGGGTTTCATCCACTCTAGATCAATTAAACAGTCTTGCCCTAACTTTCTGTTATACCCAAACAACTGTCCTGAATGCAGCTTCAGATGGGTTTTCAGAAGTTACAGACCTAGGGACCTGTGGAAATATTTCATGTTCTATTGTTTCTTGTGGAATAGGAAATATCAAGTGGCATACATAATGTCACAGTCCTTTTAAGAAGGTGTAACTCTGAACGTTCTCCTCCATGACTTTCCAACTCTGACAGGAAATATTAGAACTTGTGTGTTGTGGTTTGTTAAAAAATGTAAATTTATGTTCAAAATCGTTTGTCAGTCTCTCAGAAAATTAAAAGTAATTAAATAGAAAGTTCTACAGATTTGTGCCTTATCTGTACCCTCTCATCTCAAGATGGTGTGAGAAGCAGACAATTGTAATAACTTGCTGCTACTCCTTTCCAGCTTAATTTGATCTTGTTCCTTAGTTCTGACAGATTGTTTTTAGTTTTCCCATCTGTTCCGTAAAAATCTCAAATGATTGACTCTTAGGAAAAAAATAATGTCTAATAGCTGAGCCACTTTTAATGAGTTGATAGGAGTTATTTAATGAGACGTGCTGAAGAGGGCAAGCCAAGTGAAAGATTGGGGCTGGATTTAAAGAAAGGTAAAGGGCAACTGTATGCTTCATGAAGTCCCCACTGTTCTCTTTAATCTCAGTTTTAGACTACTGCTGGTTCCAGTTTCAGGCAGTGCAGATTCTTAGGCCTATAGGCAAAAAACAAAGGTTCAGTAGCAGTTAATTCCTTTTCCCCTTCTATTTAGTGAAATGTCTACACTCAGACAGTACTGCTTTAGGGAGAAGAACAGTCATGCAAAGTGGGGGGGAAAGAACATTGTAGGCTGTGGTATAATTTAATTTCTTTCTAACTCCCAGATAGTCTATCGTTAGGTCAGAAAGAACCCCCATGCCAGTAAACAGAGTGAATGTTCTCTGCCAGCCTCTCTGAAGGCTAAAATCTCTGCTTTAAAATTGCCTGCAAATGACATCTCCTGGGCAGGAAGCCATCAGTATGCAGTACAGGTCTCTTAGAGTAGCAACCATGAATATAAATGTTAACATCTGGAATTTTCCCTTCTGTTTTGGTTTTTATATATTGTTACAATAAACATTAACATTATTTTTAATTATCATCAAATAGCAGTTTCTCTGGCAGCTTGAGATTTCATTATTAAGTCAAATAGTGAAAATAAATATACAGCTCCTTTAAAAGGGAAGTTGAAAGTTTGACTCAACTCTGCAAATACGCCATTGTTGGTCTCATCTATTGTAGAATTCATAGAATAACGAATTAACTTTCCAGTTGCATACAGTGAGGCAGGCATGACAAATGAGAGAATACTAAAATGGTAAGGAGCACAATGTACACTTATTTTTGCAGGTTTTAATGGGCTGCCAACTAAGGAGAGAGACTTTTGTCTGCATTTTTTTAGCTAGTAAATTCTGAGTGTACTTTTAAAGTGAGCAGAGAACATCAGTATTCCATACTTTCAGAGCACAGAATCATAGAATCATAGAATCGTTAGGGTTGGAAAGGACCTTAAGATCATCTAGTTCCAACCCCCCTGCCGTGGGCAGGGACACCTTATGCTAAATCATATCACCCAAGGCCTCGTCCAACCTGGCCTTGAACACTGCCAGGGATGGAGCATTCACAACCTCCCTGGGCAACCTATTCCCATGCCTCACCACCCTAACAGGAAAGAATTTCCTCCTTATATCCAACCTAAACTTCCCCTGTTTAAGTTTTAACCCATTACCCCTTGTCCTGTCACTACAGTCTCTAATGAAGAGTCCCTCTCCAGCATCCCTATAGGCCCCCTTCAGATACTGGAAGGCTGCTATGAGGTCTCCATGCAGCCTTCTCTTCTCCAGGCTGAACAGCTCCAACTTCCTCAGCCTGTCTTCATATGGGAGGTGCTCCAGTCCCCTGATCATCCTCGTGGCCCTCCTCTGGACTTGTTCCAACAGTTCCATGTCCTTTTTATGTTGAGGACACCAGAACTGCACACAATACTCCAAGTGAGGTCTCACAAGGGCAGAGTAGAGGTTCAGGATCACCTCCTTTGACCTGCTGGTCACGCTCCTTTTGATGCAGCCCAGGATACAGTTGGCTTTCTGGGCTGCAAGCGCACACTGAAGCCAGCTCATGTTCATTTTCTCATTGACCAACACCCCCAAGTCCTTCTCTGCAGGGCTGCTCTGAATCTCTTCTCTGCCCAACCTGTAGCTGTGCCTGGGATTGCTCCGACCCAGGTGTAGGACCTTGCACTTGTCATGGTTAAACCTCATGAGGTTGGCATCAGCCCACCTCACAAGCGTGTCAAGGTCCCTCTGGATGGCATTCCTTCCCTCCAGGGTATCAACCGAACCACACAGCTTGGTGTCATCAGCAAACTTGCTGAGGGCGCACTCAATCCCACTGTCCATGTCAGCGACGAAGATGTTAAATAAGACTGGTCCCAACACCAATCCCTGAAGGACACCACTCGTTACTGGTCTCCAGCTGGACATTGAGCCATTGACCACAACTCCTTGCATGCGGCCATCCAGCCAGTTCTTTATCCACCGAGTGGTCCATCCATCAAATTGATATCGCTCCAATTTAGAGACAAGGATGTCGTGTGGGACAGTGTCGAATGCTTTGCACAAGTCCAGGTAGATGACATCACCAGTTACTCAAAAACTGTCAGGTTTCCCTAGGACATGTATCTCAAACAATCAAAGAGGACAGGGCAAAGACTGAAATGTTATTTTTAAGCCATTGAGTGTGGTAGCAGTTGCAACTGTTTCTGGTTTAATTTTGTACAAAATTGGACTTGGATGGTGTCTGTTTTAAGGTCCATGCTCAGCAAATATCCAAATACAGGAGGCACTCTGCTTATACAGAAGTTTTTGGCTCCAAAATTTAATCTGGGACTGATATAAGGAAAGAAAATGCTATTTGTAATATTTTTTTTCCTTATTATTACTACCTAGGAGCAACATTCCTGGAGTTTATCTATTTTTTCTTTTTTTTTTTGTTATTCTGTTGGGGAGAAGGAATTGATTGGTGGCAGGGTTACTTTGCATGGCAGGAGACCATTCTGGTCCTAAGTGACTTAATTTTGGGTAAATTCTCAGGGGCTTTGGGAACACGACCCATTATATATCACTCTTGATGGCTTTTTAACAAGGGTTTTGTAGCATTGTGGCTTTAGTAATGAATCTTCTATATATTTATGTAGTTAAATTCACAAGGTAAGTTAAATAGTTCTGCATTAATCCTTCATAAAGCATTGATCTTTTTTTTTTTTACCTTCTTTCTCAGTGTGTCAATCCTGATCTTTAATACTTCTCGGCAGTGCTTTGTTCTGGTGAAGCAGTTCCGCCCAGGTAATCCTCTTTTTTTAGATTTACTTTTGCTCTCTAGCGAAGCAAGCTTTTAAGGGTTTAGCAGTTAAAAGTTGATGCATCTGTGGTGATAAGATCTTTGTTCTATATTGCATTTCTTTGTATGATAGCCCACCCCTTTCAGTTGGTCAGAATTTCTAACCAGGGAAATTTCCATTACAGATGAAATAAATGATCAGGCTGGCCTTAAATTCTTCTTTTGGGCTAGTCATTGTCATCTTCTGGGTGAAATTACAAATATCAATACATATGCTTTTATTTGAAGTTCCTTTCTGACCTATCTAGTATTTAGTAATGTGCAGAAGCACAATTATTCTTCCTTTTTTCTTTTTTTTAAGCTTATTGTTGCGCATTGTATACTTGGGAATTTATAACGAGGGAAATTCAGGACTCTTTGCTTTTCATCATTATGTATACGTGGGCAGGTTCATTTTACCAGTTATTATTATGAATTTTGGTTAGCATGCTATTATTTTTTCCTAAGTTTTTCATCAGTTATTTTAATTCAAAGCAATATTTAATTTCTGGAAGTTAAAAGTTAAATTCATATTCTTCGCATGTTAACTAAAAATATCAGAATATATTTCACTGACTGTTGCTAAGAGACCATTTCAAGACTGTTCATGGTAGACTTTATGGGAAACTTTCTAGGGTGCTGTCATGCTGTCCTTGTCTACTGACAGTTACTGCCAGGCTTTTCAGTGTTGTGCGGCACTGTTATACTGACAGTCCATACTTCCCATGAAGCACTATATTGACTATTATAAAGTGTGCGTTTGTTTATCACAAATCCAATGTCTTTTTATTTGCCAGCTGAATAAAATGGCTCATATAGCTGTTGCTGTCTCTGAGGCTATCTTAGGCAGAAGCCTTCATATATGTGCATATGTATGTATGCATATATGCTGAACAGCAACATCTTCATTACATCATCCATATGAAAGTGTTAGATCTGCCTCAAAAGACTAGACTGTTCTTGGAGTTAAACCGTTCCAGAGGCTTGAGCTGCCCAGAAACCTGGCCAGAGGGACAGTGGTCAGTTGGACACCCCATAGCAGTTTAGTTATCATAACCATGCCCTGACACTACTCACATCACTATAATTATATTGCCATTCCATGATTATTGTCTGCCCTGGTGCACGTTCCACAAAGCAAAAATAAAGGCTGTGACTTTTCTCATTGCTGGCTGCTATCAGGGTCTCACCAGGAAAGCAATAGCTCATTACTTGTGACCATACAGCTGCCACTCGCTCTACCAGGCACGTCCTCCACACATGTGCGGGTTGACGTATGTGCTTGCCTTTCCTTAAGGTGAGGTATAACAATACTGTTTTCCCATTGAAGTCTGTGCAGCTTGTAAAAGAATTCATCCCTCCCTGTATGTACATTCCCACTCCATTCCCTTTGACAGCACCACCTCTTGTGTAGCCTCAGCAGAGCTCTTACATGGCTGCAAACAGAAATGTTGAGGATGAGGCGGCTTATCAGACTGGCCTGAAAAAGTTCATGCTGGCTTGAGGGGTGGCAGGAGCACCCAACCAGAGTGGGGCAGACAGGACCATATTCTTCAGTGCACTGTGGACTTAGATCATAGAATCATAGAGTCAGCTAGGTTGGAAAAGACCTTTAAGGTCATCACATCCAACCCTTACCCCAGGACTGCCAAGACCACTACTAAACCATATCGCTGAGGGCGTCATCTACACAGTTTTGAACACTTCCAGGGACTGTGATTCCACCACTGTCCTGGGCAGCCTGTTCCAATGCCTGAGCACCTTCTCTGTGAAGAAGTTTTTCCTAAAACCCAATCTAAACTTCCCCTGGCACAGCTTGAGGCTGTAACCTCTTGTCCTGTCTCCACCTCACTACAACCTCCTTTCAGGCAGTTGTAGAGAACAAGATCCCCCCTGAGCCTTCTCTTCTCCAGACTAAACAACCCCAGTTCCCTCAGCTGTTCCTCATCAGACTTGTGATCCAGACCCTTCATCACCAGCTCCATTGCCCTTCTCTGGACCTGCTCAAGCATCTCAGTGTCTCTCTTGTACTGAGGTGCCCAGAACTGAATACAGGATTTGAGGTGCAGCCTCACCCGTGCCAAGTACAGGGGGAGAATCACTTCCCTGACCCTGCTGGCTACACAGGAGGAAGTTCTTTACTGTAAGGGTTGTGAGGCACTGGAATGGGTTGCCCAAGGAAGTTGTGAATGCTCCATCCCTGGCAGTGTTCAAGGCCAGGCTGGACAAAGCCCTGGGTGACATGGTTTAGTTTGAGGTGGCAGTGGGGTTGGAACTGGATGATGTTAAGGTCCCTTCCAACCCTAACTATTCTACAATTCTATGAAACAAATTACATGTATACTTCAGTAGTTTCTGTATTAGCTCTTCACCCATGACTGATTACAAAGGTCTTGAGCACTGCTCATTTTGGTTGTCGATTGCCGTACATTTTCAAATAAAATAATAGGTTCCTGGGAAAGGCTGGGGTTAGTTCCTGTAAACATGTGCATAGGTTTTTTCACTGTAAGCACAATGACTTTTCAATGGATTGTGATGGTTTATTTTGCATTGATTTAAAATGTGCTGTATCAAAGACTTGAGTCATAAGCCATGTTCTCTTTCAAGAGGTATGAAATACTGTTTCCAATCAAAGAGAAATCAGAAGTTTAAAGAAAGGCTAGCACATTCCCCAGTCAGCTAAACCTCATCAGCCCCTCAGTCCGTACTGTTGTTCACTTATCTTAAGGGATAGCAAACAAGTCCCTGTCTGAGTCATCTAACAAGGCTGCTTTGAATAACCATTACGATCTTATTTGATGAGTTTGGTTGAGCCATGTATCCTTTGTCTCAGCTTTGCAGAAAGGCAGGCAAGTACATCAATTCCACTGGAGTTTCCACTCTGAGACTTCTTGCAGTTGAGTGGCTCTAGGGTAATGAGTCAAGATATTTAATGTGTACTAGGAGGTTGGTTGAGTCATAACTGTGCTGTTGCTCATCCTATGTGTCTGTCTGACGATGGAGGAGACATGCCGGTGATGATGAACTGGCAGTTTCTGACCAAAGTAGCATAAGCCATCAGGAGGCAAGAAGGCAATCAGACAGGGGTGGGTGACTGTGCTGGGAGCTGAGCTCTTACTTCTAATTTCTGCTCTCCACACACTCTGTGCATTTGCAATAGGCTGACAACCTGTGATGAGGAAGAGAAGAGTTTCAGGTTTCTGTCCAAAGAGTGTGCTCTAGTCAATAAGCCACAGACTGCTTTTCCATCCAGTACTTATTTCCCTTGGTGCATCATTTGTGCAGTCTTCTCTGTTCCCTACCAGGGAGCTTGGTTTTCTAGGCTTTGCTTATCTGTGAGAGGTAAACTGTTTGAACCTTTGCGACCGTCATCATATTGAATTCATACTTCAACTCCTTGGTGAATGCTCTGGTATTTAGACTCTTATGGAAGTGGCTGGTGCTTCTTCTTTTCTTCCTTATCTACAGAGAAAAGCTGTTGCTGGGCTTTAAATGTTGGCATATTATAGGAGTTTGCTCTGAAGAGGACTTCTGGATTAGGTCCTACTGAGAATGCAGGTTTTGCTCTATGTGGAGCCCAGTTACGCTGAGGGAAAAGAAGAACAGCAGGTGTCTGCTGGAATGACAGGATTGGTTTTAGGGATTCAACAGACTTGTAACAGAGAGTTAACTTCAATCACAGTTTCGTATTTCTGTATGCCACACTCTTACCTGCATCATGTTTTGTTGTCCAAGTCCTTTAGCATGATGCATGTCTTGTTCTTGTTTGTATTTACTGATATGGATATGTCAGTAATAAAAAAGCAATAAAACCTTAAGAGTATTTGGCTCATAGAAGTATCTTGGAGGCAGTTGTCATTTTGGTAGTTGTCATAGCTTTTAGAAGTTTTTGGAATAATGACAGTTGACACCTATCAAGGACCTGTCCCTCAGAGTCTGCATGGAATTATTAAATTTTTTTTTCCCTGCCTTCATGCTGCATTTAAAAAAAAAAACTAAGCTCTAGTCATGTCTTTCAAGTAAGAAACCAGTAGCGAGACCAGTAGGTTGAGGGAGGCGATCTCCCCTCATCTCTGCTCTCGTGAGACCCCCCCTGCAGTACTGCATCCAGCTGTGGGGCCCCCAGCATAAGAATGATGTGAACTTGTTGGTGCTAGTCTGAAAGAGTGCAACAAAAATGATCAGGGAGCTGAAGCACCTCTCCTATGGAGACAGGCTGAGTTGTCCAGCTTGAAGAAGAGAAAGCTCCGGTGCAACCTCATAGGAGCCTTCCTTAAAAGATATGCTCATTGAAAAACCGTGTTATGTGTATATGAAATAGGCATGTAAACTACATTAATGGAAGAAAAATAATTTAAAATTTTAAGTAGTTTTACTAAGGTTGTTTTATAACATCCTTGTGGTAGCTTTTCATGGAAAGCAAGGGATAGACATGAGGAAATTTCAAAGAAACAAGTGGGATTATATCAGCAAGTTAAAGTTACAGTGATCTGAAATTGCCAGTAGTGATTCAGTCCTACAGTTCCCAGGCAAAATTTCTGTTGACATCAGTGAGAGGTTTTGCTTAAATAAGGACTAAAATCTGGCATTTGCACTTTCTTTAGGAGTGCATTACAGTGGCAGCTGTTTGTAGATTAATTCAAGAAGTCTTTCTTAGCCTCCATGCAGGAATCTCTGCAAGGAGCTGTATGTTCAAAAGGGATTTTTTTTTTTTTCAAACAAACATACATGCTTTTCATACCCTTTCTAAATAACAGCTGAGTTGACAGGCTGAAAGGCTCATCATTGTGCACATGGTACAACCAACTTCCCTGCAAGATAACTGCATAGTTTAAATTAAATCCTGATACCCGCGTTGCCCAACAAATGGAAGCTGTATGGCACTTCTGGGATGTAGATTTCTTGGATGAACTAGCTTCCTTTTTTTTATTTCTATTTATTTTAAAGTGTTCATGAATTCATTCCAAATGACCTAAGCACAAATAGAGTTTAAAGAATAATTTTACAGACATTGCAAGCGAACCTTTGTTCTCTAAAATTGCAATTTCCCTATGTCATAACTTTAACAGATAACACAACTGAATTCCTTATTACTCTCAAGTACGCTGATGGTTATAAATTTCCAGGCAAAATGCATGTACCATCTTTTTTTCTGTTTAATATGAATAACCTAACACTCCCCCCCTTTCTTTTTCTTCTGTGTGGTGGGTTTTTTTGTTGTTTGTTTGTTTGTTTGGGGTTTTTTTTGGTAATTTTTTTATTTTTTTTTTTCAGCTGTTTACATGTGTGAAGTAGAAAAGCATCATCCTCAACTTTTTCAGAATCAGGACAATGAGAGCTCCTCTCGTCTAGAGGATCCCTTACCTGCTGCAGTAGGAGTGACCTATGAACTCTGCTCTGGCATTGTTGACAAACCAGACCTTTCTTTAGAAGAAATTGCATGTGAGGAAGTCTTAGAAGAATGTGGCTATCATGTTGCTGTTACAGACCTAAGGAAAATCACTTCTTACAGGTAAATAGCAGTAAGTTAAACATGTTGCATTTTGTTGTTTCACAGATTGCTGAAGTGTCCTGAAGGTAAATTAATGTTCCCTGTTCCCTTATTTAAGCTATGTGTTGGAGGAACATGGACATCTGAAAGTATGTGAAAGGTATAATTTTCAGCAAGTGAGAGGAGTGTTTACAGAGATTTAAGGAATTATAACCTCATAATTATGGGATTGAATTCACAGGAAGAATGATACTATTGTGATTTATTCCAAAGACTATTAGAACTGGTAAAGTTGCATTGGGCTCTTCAGAGCAGTTTGTTACAGCACTAAAAAACAGGCTGTCTTTACTGTGCCAGGTGTTTTCCATCTCTGATTCTTATTTTTCTGATTTAATAATAGAAACTGCCTAAGATGGACTCTTGATTTACCATTAATGCAGTTTTGCAGAAGCATGAGAACTTGTGCCATTAGATCTCTTCATAATATTTGAGCTGTAATTAAGCCTTCTTCAGATTGGACTATAACGTTATATATGAGGACTTTGCTGATTTGACTATGAAAAATTTTACACCATTTTTTTTGCAGGGTTTCAAATAGTTCTTGAAATGGATTCTAACATGTTTCAAAACATAGACTAGGAGTAAGAGGAAAATTTAATATGTAAAAATACAAAATATGAGTTACTGTAGGGGTAAAAAAAACCCACAAAAACCAAGAAAACCTCAAGGGAAAATTTGCAAAGAGCCTTAATCCCATTATATCTCCTTTCCAGATTTTAGTATTGTTACCCAAAATGTATGTATGTTTGTATTTTACAGAGAAAGCAGCAGGTTCTTTACTTTCTTTATTTTGCTTGACATCTCCATTGAACTAGGCCCTGTCATTGGTTTTTAATTTGAGAATTGAATACAAATCCACAGCTGTCAATCCTGGCAAATGTTATTTCCTGCTGGATTAGCAAGCATTGCTTCTGTTGAGGGGAGGGGGTGAATCACAGGAGCTATCTTTTATGACTCCTTGAAACTAGATTAAGGGTTTGTTCTACTGACAGAAAAAGTGCTTTCTAGATTTATGAGCAGAAGCTGCCTATAGAATTTCACAGTTTGGGTGACACTGACAGGATATAGCATGCAGATATAGACATATATACATATATATACATGTATATGTATAGAAACACAAAACAGGAAAAGTAGAATATGATTTCTGTGTCTGTAGAAGTCTTGCTTCAGTGTAGAAGTTTGTCTCAACATTAATATTTTACATCTGGCTAAGACTGTATGTTGTTTGGTTGATAAATGTCTTTGTATCTTACAGGTGGTTGTTCTTTTCAGTTGCCCTTTTTTTAATTGTGCAGACTTGCAAAGAGAGTACACAATGGGAGTTTTCTCTGTTGAGATCCATGGAAAGGGCACTTAGTATGTTAATCGCCCAATCCTGCTTTGTCTATCAGGGCATAGCTTTCTGCCCATAGAGATCTATGCTGAAGTCAGAAGGGCCTCTATTGTATTTACTTTTCTAGGTTAATATGAAAGTTTGAAGCCTCAAAGATGGTATTTTACAGTTTCTTACAAAAGAAGCCAGATTTCCTGTGAAAGGAATACAGGAAGTATTAAGAATAATCTGTATTAGATTAGATTTTTATTCTAAATGTTTACTAAAATGTTTCTATTAGGAGTGTCCTGTTCATCTTCCTTTAGCCAAAGACTGGCAAGCTTTTCCTCATGTTCTTCCCTAAATTTCCCTTTCTTTGCTCCCTCTTTGCCTCCCCTGTCTCAAAACTAATTTCTACAGCAGTACTGCATTGTCATTCACCTGCTGCCTGTATTTGTGCTGTTCATTACTGTTGCCTGAACACAGATCCTTGAACTTGCCTTTGCTGAATTGCATCCTAGTTTTTGTCCTAAAGCAAAATGCTCATTTAAATTGAATGGAGGGTGGTCCCTAGTGGAATCCCTATTTAGTTTGTATTTCCAATTGGAAACTGAACACTGATATCCATTCCATGAGTACCATTTTCATACTAGTTTTGATTTTTAAGTACATCTCGATATCCTAGTTTCTTAATGAAACTGTCACATGGGTTAGTATTCAAAGCCTTGATAAACTGAGGTTGTATTGTTTGTGGTGCTACCCTTATCCACACTATTATTGCTGTTATTAGTTTGACTGCACTTGATATATTCCCAAAAAATCTGATAGCTGTTGTTCCTTTCTTGATGCAAATAAAACCACATTAAAGCATTTAGATAATTAGAATTAATAATTACTAAGTTAGGTCTATTAGGCTTTTTTTAGATAAAACCTCAGAGTTGTGTGCACAGTGAAATGGCTTTCATACAAACCAGGGTTTTGGTGTTGTCACACGCTTTGCTCTGAAAGCAGAGTGTTGTCTTGTATTTCTAATGACACCCCTTTCTGGAATCATTGTCACAAGAAGGAAATAAAAGCAGGACTTGAGCTAGAACTGACAGAAGGACATGGAATGCAGAAGACACATCCAGTGTAAAGAGAGAAATGGTTTTGGCTAGAGAGGTCAGTACAGTTCTGTGGCTAATGGGTTAAGAAGGGGAGGGCATGGACAATGTGTAGGGAGAACTTGAACTGGGGGGAGAGGGAATAGGCTAGAAAATTGTCAAGTAGAAAAAGAGGAAGAAGAGATGAAGGCACAATGAAGAGAAAAAAACCATGAGCTGAGAAAACTAAATGGACTTGAGGGGAGTACATGCATTGTGGTGGAGAAGAATTCTCTTTATTGAAATGAGGAAAGAGACTGTATTCAGACAGAACTTTGTTCTCAAGCAGTGGGAACAGTAACGATCAGAGGTAATCTGAAAATGATAGCATTTAGTTATTCTTATTTATTATCAGGGCCTGCAGCAGTGATTTTGGGGGAATTTTTTTTTAATTATCTCAGCTAACCAGAAAAGGTTAACCTCAGTACTGCTACAGGTATTTCAACAGCACATACAAATAAGGCATTGGACCTCATTCTTAAGCTCTGTAAAAGCTCCTGTGACATGACACTCATCAGTTAGAAGTGAGGTACTGAATTAAGCAGATCTCGGAGTGATCTTCAAGAGATCTTCAGGAAAGCAATTCAGGAGATCTTCAGGGAGCAGATCTTCAGGAAAGAAGCTAGGGGTTGGGGATTTTACACTAGTTGAGTAAGGGTGTTTGGAGCAAGTTGTTCCAGCAGCAGGAGGACAGTGTGGCATGGGTGAGTGAAGGAGAATGAACTGGGGGCAAACAATGAGAAAGAGAAACATATTATGAGGAATTTGAATGCAGGAGGCCAGAGGAACCACATTTTGAAGAATAAGAAATATCTGCTCCTATTAAAGAAAAATGCCAGTCAGAAGGTGAATTTAAATGCAAGTGGTTCATTTTGCTGTGTAGAGAAGCAGGATCAGTCTGAAAAACAAATAATCTATATTGTTTTCAACCTGTGTGGTGAGTTTCCTCCTGTCATCATGCCTATACAAATCGCTATTTTTGTGCTTGGCATGCAATAAATAAACTCATTTTGGTATTATGAAAAGTTTGGTTTCTCTTCTGGCAGCAGCTAATCTGCTTTTGGAGGCTTACTGAAAGTTTTGATGCCTACCGATGTGTTGTTGCGTTCTCATCAGCTGCATGTATGGCTTCAGTCAAAAATAGCAAAGATGGTACATGGGTGACAGGTGTAAAGAAACTATTCAGCTCAATAATGAAATGAAGCTAATATTATAGTAGTATAATTGTAAACCGATGTTTCATGAAAACTGTTGCCAGTTAAATTGTTAACTTTTAAAAGCTCTAGAAGAATTCTCTGAGCTTGCTTCCGTGTTTTGTTTTGTTTTTCCCTAACTGCAAAATTTTATTAATGAAAAATTTTGGATTTACTCGTATATCAGATAAGGCAAACTTTCTGTCTCTCATGATATCCCAGCAGGTTTCAATTTGAATTCCATGTGAGGTTCAACTGTTGGTTTCTGAGGTTGAAGTACTTCTGGCTATCTTTCTTGAGAATTGATTCCTTACAGACAGGGGCAGGGAAGTCTGTTGTTGTTGCTGTTAAAGGTGTTCTTATTGCCATTGCAACTTATAGGATTTTTTTTGGTCATCTTTAGGAGTATTTGCAAATTTATTTGAATTTGAATAACACCTGAGAGCATCAGGCTAACACTGAACCAGAGCTTCCGGTTCAACTTCCTTTTCCCTTCATTGCGTCTTTATTTATTCCCAGAGATTCTAATAAACTCTTGGCTATGAATCGAATACAACAGGAGCTGGAGGTTCTCAACCCCACTGCAAAAATAAGTCAGATGGATTAGTTTAAGAGCCTAACATAGGTACTTACCTACATTTAATTTTTTTTCTCCCAAAAAGTATACAACAAAGAAGAGCATTCAGAGAATTAATACTGGATGTTCCAATTACTGTGCTGTGGCTATTAGCCTTAGTGCAATGAGGTAAAAATGGTTTGTATTCACAGGTTTTTATGCAGAAGGAATAATAGCCTTGAAAATGTTGGAGTGCATTATAATTAGAAAGATCACCTGCTAGTACACCTGTTGGGTGATGGCATAATGTAATATAATTTTATGTTAATTACTTCTCTGCTTTTTTCCTGCACCTGCTGCTTATAACGTCAGAACTGTACAAAGGTCCTGAGAAGTGACAATAGTAGCTGCATGTCACTGTTCATCAGTTTACATGTTTCATGCCTAAATAGACCTTGATTTCAGTATAAATAGCAGAGATTTGTGACGCATTTACTTATAAACATGAATTATGTATTTGCTGTATACCCAAATTCTGCACCCAGATGGCTTAAATCTGATAAAAGGATATTGCATTTATGATTTTTCACATTAACTGTGTCAGATTAAAACCAAAAAATTTATTTATGTGTTGACAGGAACAGGAAAGTGTTGATTGTTTCTAGATTTTATATTTCTTAAATATTAAGAAATTAAGAGAAATTTAGCTTTTAATTACTGTCTGTCAAAAATCTGAGTTAAACTGGTAAAGCTTC